GAACGTTAAAAAATCCACAAGGTAGCGGTGATCTGGGCAGATAATTCTTACTTTGTGCAAACAATATTAGCTGCGTGCAATGTAAATATCATTTGGACCAGGCCATCAATTACTTGCCTCCCTTCCCTCACACCAAAATATGTATCCGTAAATAAAAGAACTGTGAGGCCACACACTGAAATGTAGTGATTTGGTATTTGTTTCACTGACATCACAGTTTCTTTTTCATGTTTGGAGTTTATCTATCCATAATAGATTTCCAGCTTATTTTAGTAAGAGAGATCTTTTCTTAAGTATGCACAGGTGCATGGGTGTATAAAATCAATGAACATACATAAATTCTACTGAAACTGAGCACCCAGACCTTTCAGGATTGCACCCACTGAAATCCAATTGATAGCAATAAATGGTGTTTATTACTATCAGGAATTGGCCTAATATACAGAGTTTTTCCCTCTATGGTTTATTTGACTGGTTTATAGTTGTGGCCTTCCAACCCATAAAGTGACTTTGTGTAACTTACAGATATTTAGAACCATAAAAGCAAAGCAGCTAAAGCAACATCCCATAAACACCATAACAGAAGAGGGGGGGGGGGGAGAAATAACCAAGGCCACTCATTGCATATTCCATTCAAGAGCTTTCAGTCTGGCTAAGTTCGTTCAAAAAATGGCCCGTTTTTCGCTCAATTTTGCCCTCCCCAGCCCCCAGAAGCACTTTGCAGGTCTCCCAAAGCCTATGCACGTCCAATTTTGCGAAGGGGGTGGGCTTTCAGGAGGCCAAAAATGATGTATTCAGTGTATAAGATGTACCCAGATTTTCACCCTCTTTTTGGGAGAAAAAGGTGTGTCTTATACTCTGAAAAATACGGTAATATTAAATGGTTCCATCAACTACCTGTTCAGGTAGTGGGACTTAGAATCAACACAATCTCTCCATATCAGAGTGGTGAACTTGTGACTTGCACAAAGACTTCTTATTAAAAAAATAATACCAGTCTCCATAGCCCTAAAGGTCCATTTTTAAAAAATAAATGTGAATTTAGATATTAACAGGCTTTTGCCTAATTGAAGCAGTAGCTATCATAATACTTACTACCCATTTTATTTACCCAGTAAGTGAAACATTAGCTCATTCCACACATCAGTACTCATTAGGTCTAGTATAATTGAGCCTAGTGACTCTCTGGGTATTTTTGTTGCTGTTGGTACAAAATGCAAAATTATTGAGCTGATTGTGCCCTGCCCTGTTCAACTTACCCACCCAGCCGCTCATCCTTTTGTCCCATTATCATTTTTGGCAATCAGATAAAGCTTATGACACGTGGCATCATTGTGTTTTGGCACTTCCTGAAAAGCCTGAGTAAGACTCCCATCTCCCTTTCTACATAATGCAGTTTTGAGGAGCTGGAAGAAAGTTAATTGCTTGCAGGATCATTGACAGTCTCTGTGTCTCTACTATTGAGCTACTGGAATACTGTCAGCCTTACGATGGCAAGCTCGTCTAAAAGTGAATTAGTTTAACCGAATCCTTAATTTCTTTATAAGCTAATGTCTGAAACAGAAGGACATTTAGCCAATTTTTTGACAGCTGGCCTTTTCTGGCATAAATTCACGCTGTTCTGCCGCCTGGGCTGTGTGCAACCAAGACAATGTAGTTTATATCTTGTTCTAGGTATCTGATTCAGTGGCGTTTACATTCTAATGAGTCCTTTCTTACCATTGATCCCAGTAGCTTAGTGAAAAAATTGACCCTGTTCTGCAGTCCATACATGGAATAAATAGCAGTGCCTGGATGACACTAGATCCATAAATTCTTGCTGCTTTACATAATTTTATATATAATGAACCACTAAATGAAATATTGTTTAGTTTATCAGCGGATTAATCCATTTTATTCTAAGTCTCTTAACTATTCAGAATGGGTGTTGAGCCACAAACCATCATCTTCTTCTTTTAAGGACCCCATAGTCCCTTGTGGGTTGGAGTCTGGACAACTGAATGGAGCTAGCAGAGTGTTTTTATGGCCTGTTGCCAATGAGGAGTTTTATTCAGCAGGAATATTCTCGGTGTGCCCAGAGAGAGAAATATCTGCCTCTACGTAGGATCGAACTCACAGCCTCCTGATTGTAAGGCGAGAGCTCCACCTCTAGGCCACCGCACCACTCCCTGAGCCAGAAACAAATGGGGAGGAGAAACAGGCTGCCAGAAACTGATTAAGAAATGGGTGAAAAAGATTGCCTTCTCTCAACGTTTATACCTGTGGGATTCCTTTGCCTTTGCCTGCAGAGTGCACGTATACAATCATAATGAGACTTAGCTAGTCAGATGCAACACAAACTGATACATGCCCTACCTCCAGGTTTGGGTTGAAAGGGGGAAGAAGCACTTGGACTTTCTGAGATCAGGGCATCATCAAATGCAGGGCGAGCCTGATTAGCCCACTCCAAAGAATGGAGCCATTTGCAATGAACTACTCTGGTTAACAGTAGGATGCAACAGTAGGATGCCAACATAGTGAAACGTGATTGTCAAAAGAGGCAATCTAGGTGTAGATTCCTGCTTGCACTTCAGAATGCAAAATATCCCACACACAGTCCAAAATGAGAGCTTTCACTTGACGTTTGTGATCCTGATTCAATTGCCTAGGTAGAACAATATTTCTCAACCTTGCCAACTGTAAGAGGTGTAGATTTCTTGGAGTTGCAGTCCATGTGCCTTAAAGTTCTTGGAGTTGAAGTCCATGTGCCTTATAGTTCTTGGAGTTGAAGTCCATGTGTCTTAAAGTTGCTAAGAGAAATGTTGGCCTAGAAAATTTCTAACCAACAGCCACGGCAGACAAACCTTCATACATTTCCTAGGGTGTCATTTCTTTAAATTAGCTATATGTAACGTGTTCTCCCCAAAATAAGTCAGGGTCTTATTTTCTTTTGACCCACCAAAATAAGTGCTTGACCTTATTTTCGGGGAGCTCTTATTATTTTTGAGGTTCAGGAGGCAGCGAGCATGGTCACCTCATGGCTGCTGCTGTGTTGTAATATTTTCAGGGAGAGCTTATTTTTTGGGGAAGGGCTTATTTTAGCTCAAAAGCCTGATTGGGCTTATTATCGGGGGAGGTCTTACTTTCTAAGCGATGTAAAATGAAATGTCACATGACCATACTGACTTATGATGTCAGTTCTGGCTGTGGCTGTTAATCAAATCACCAGCAGTTGTTAAGCATAGTGTTGTGTGACTTGCGACTTCCAGTTTATTGGAAGGCTGGTTGTGAAGATCACATAGGGAAATCACATGACCTCAGGATGCTGTGACCATTGTAAATGTGCACTGGTTGCCAAGTACCCAAATTGCGATCATGCAATGGCAGGGATTCTACAGCAGCCACACGTTCTAAGGGTAAATCTCCTTTTTCAGTACACTCACAACTTTAGAACATTGGCTTTGAACAGGCAATTGATAATCAAGAATTCCCTATGTACTATTTTGCCACTGCTGAATCCTGAGTTTATATGCTAGAAATTTGGTTCAGCATAACATTGTGCCTGAAAGTGCCTCAAAATAAAATAGCTTGCATGAAGTTTATATGCAGGGGTGCAATGCTACCAGTTTCGACCGGTTCCCCCAACCCTGTAGTAAAAAAAAGCTACTGATTCAGGCGAACCAGTATTTTTGTATTGTCGTTTTGCCATTTGCTATTGGCTTCTTTTTCTTGAGGATTAAGTATGAATTTTATTTTCTTTCATACTGTATTTAGACACAGCTTTGCATTGCTTCCTTGTGTTAATCTTTGGGTTAAGATTCTAGTAAAATAATACCCATTCCTATTTCAATACTTATTTATGGTCTTACCTCTCCCTATTTTCTCCTCATCTTATTTACAGTAGCAAGTGTTCTACTGGAACTGCAAGTACTCAGTATATCAAAGAATATAGAGAGGAGTTCTATCTACAGATAGGTCCTCACTTACTGACTACAATAGAGACTGGCAGCTCCGTTGCTAAATGATGTCATAAAGTGTAACATTGTATAATGGCACTGGCTTGTGATCTGAGTTCTGGCTACGATTGTTGCTAGGTGTGAAGGTCACAAATAGCAATTACATCATTACGGGATGCTGTGGCAACAGCCAATTTTTACAATAGGATGTAAGTTTCATTGTTCAGTGATGTTGTATCTTTGAATGGTTACTGAACGAGTGGTCAGTTTGCGAGGATTGGCTGTATCACTATAGTGCTTCATTGAAATAGTAGATTAATAACTTTTATGGAAAAGATGCCTTCTGCAGAAAAAGGGCTAAGTCACAATAAATAAAAACAAAGAGTTTAAAAAGAATGCTAAGTTCTCTGAATGCAAGTTACATAGCTTGTAAGTAGATTTGGCTTCATTTTAATAATTAAATTGTTTTCTCCAGTGATTTTTTTTTAGGTTACTATCAAATGCTGACATTACCCACATTATTTTTCAGTATTTATTTAATATATCTGCTTTCCATCTGTTGTGAATGCTTAAGATTACCATTGATACATATTGCACATAAATTACCAGAATAAAGCACTGTTTAACTTCTGATATTCAATGATTATAATGGAAAAAATAATAGTAAAGATGGTTGTGGGTGTTTTTTTTTCCTTGAACCATTAAAAACAAGTTAACTTATAGGCTTTCTGGAGACTGTTCACCAAAGGAACAATTGGGGTTTGCTATTAAATCTTTATTTTAAAAAAAACATAGTGCCAGTTCCATGGATAAAAGCAATATAATTTGAAATAAGAAACCAAAGGTGGTAAAAATGATCATCCTTAAACTCTTTGCCATGTATTTTGGCCAGCACAAATATTAAACATATGTACTTACAGCAAAAGATATGAAAATCCATATGCATTTGTATAGCTTCAGCCAAAGCCAGTGTGAGCTCTGCAATTTTTGAATGAACTTGTCATTGTTATTTGCAAGCTGGAAATCAATTTTCTGTAAACTTGACCAGTGCTCTTATCCTTTCAGCAACTCTGGAAGAAATCTATCTCTTACAGAGCGGGTTATGGGGCAACGAAAGAGGTACATACTTATATCTCTCCCATTGCAATCACTGTCACTATTCTTAGGATTGTGGTTATTATGCAGAGATTCTATGCATTTTCTCATGATATCATTTTTTTAAATATTTGCTCAGTTTCATGTAGTGTGAAAAGGTCTTTTGGGTAAATATGGCATGGATATTACAGGAGGGAAAAAGAGAGTAGGAAGTCACTTCAGAAAAGAGAAGAATATTAGATGGGGATGTGGTGGTGGTGAAATCCTGCAAACATGCACATAAGGTGTGTACGGAATGGACCAATTTGGTCTAATATAAATATCTAACATAAATATCAGATAAGAGTAACGAATTGTGTAAATGAGGGATGCGGTATCTCAGATGCTAAGACGCTGAGCTTGTCATTCAGAAAGGTCAGCAGTTTGGTGGTTCGAATTCCTAGTGCCACGCAATGGAGTGAGCTCTCGTTACTTGTCCCAGCTTCTGCCAACCTAGCAGTTCGAAAGCATGTAAAAATGCAAGTAGAAAAAGAAGAACCACCTTTGGTGGGAAGGTAACAGCATTCCATGCACCTTTGGCATTTAGTCATGCCAACCACATGACCACTGAGATGACTCTGGCTCTTTGGCTTTGAAATGGAGATGAGCACTGTCCCCTAGAGTCAGGAATGACTAGCACATATGTGTGAGGGGGAACCTTTACCTTTATACTTGATTGAGTGGGAGGAGGGCTGATATTCCCCTCTTAAGAATTTGGGGAATACCTCTTCTGCCTGAGAAGCAGGGCAATGAGTTTGGGTTAGGCTTAGAGCTGATGGAACAATTAGAGTTGGAGTCACAGTGGGCATCTTAAGTTGTCATTAGCATATTAGCCTCTTCTTGGAAGAGATTATTATTTATAATAGTCATTTGACTAATCCCATAACCTACTCAGAACAATATTGTATAAACATTAAGTACTTGGGAGGAAAATATTGCCAGGAGGATAGTGTTGCTTTTAGATAGCAATATGTATTTTATGATATAAAAAAAAATCACCGAAGCTATGTTAATCCAATAGATAAAACCCCAAAGGGGCAGAGATATAATACTTTTATTAGGAGGTGGCTGACTGTCATTTATGAGCAAATTTACAAATTCATCTTTTTCTGAAATATGTCTTCCAGTATTATTATTATTTTCATACATGAATGATTTTTGGTTGTGTTGTGTTGTGTTTTCCACTGCTGCTGGGGTGCATGAAAGCCCGATGGGGGGTAATTAACATGGGGTGAGTGTTCTAATGCATGCAAGTTATCATTTGCTAAGCCAACAAGGGAAACCCTCATGAGCAGTGCCTACCAGACTATTGGCTTTTTTTCATTGTTTTTATCTGCTGTTCTAACTTTGGACACAACATTGGAGCACATATTCCCAGTGAATAAATCGTCCCTGAACTGAAGTTGGTGATCAATGCAATCCTCCTCAGAAGCTCTTCCTTCCTACTCCAGATATTTAACTCCCAATGCCTTATCAGTTTAGTCAGCAGTTTCAACAAGTGTGCTTGTTAGGAATAATGCCAGCTACAATGCAGCACATCTGGATGGAGGGTGCCAAGTTGCTCAACCCTACCATCATGGTTGCACCAGCCATGCAATAACATGTCCGTGAGTGCTTCTTGATATAATAATAATAATAATCATCATCATCATCATCGAAAAATCCTCTGGTGATGCCAAATGCAGACTTTGCAAAGAAGCTGATGAAACTGTTGATCACATACTCAGCTGCTGTAAAAAAATCGCACAGACTGATTATAAATTGTGGCACAATTCAGTAGCACAAATGATCCATTGGAATTTGTGCAAAAATTATAATATTAAAACAGCAACAAACTGGTGGGAACATCAGCCTGAAAAAGTCACCGAAAATCAGATGGTCAAGATCTTGTGGGATTTCCGTATACAAACGGACAAAATACTGGCGCATAATACCCACCAGACATCACACTGGTTGAGAAAAATAAGGTCACAATCATAGACATCGCAATACCAGGTGATAGCAGGGTCGCCGAGAAGGAACATGAAAAAATCGCAAAATACCAGGACTTAAAAATAGAAATTCAACGACTGTGGCACAAACCAGCAGTGGTAATTCCAGTGGTAATTGGCACACTGGGTGCTATTCCAAAAGCACTGGAATTACATTTAAAACAGTTAAAAATTGACAAAATCACCATCAGTCAAATGCAAAAAGCCACACTGCTTGGATCTGCAGGCATATTACAAAAATATGTTACGACGTCCTAGGCCCCTGGGTGGGGCCCGACTAGTAACCAATGCCAAATCCGGCGAAACAACTGGCTGCTGTGATACAATTGTATAATAATAATAATAATAGCCAAGGTGGTGCAGTGGTTAGGGTGCAATACTGCAGGCTACCTCAGCTGACTGCTAGCTGCAGTTCGACAATTCAAATCTCACCAGGCTGAAGGTTGACTTCCTGGATGGCGGTTCTTTCCATTGTTGAATAAGAAGACTTAGGGTAGTATGGAGTATCTTCAACCTTCTTTGCATCTGAAAATTAATCATTTCACCTCCCAGTATAAGCTCTGTCATGTTTTGTGGAAATACAGATAGTCCTCGACTTACAACAGTCCATTTAGTGACCCTCCAAAGCTACAATGACATTGGAAAAAGTGACTTATAACCATTTTTCAAACATATGACCACTGCAGCATCCCATGCTCACATAAACAAAATTTGGATGCTTGGTAGCTGGCTCATATTTAGGACAGTTGCAATGTCCCGGGGTCATGAGATCACCGTTTGCGACCTTCTGACAAGCAAAGTCAATGGGGAAGCCAGATTCACTTAACAACCGGGTTACTAACTGCAGTGATTCACTTGACAACTCTGGAAGGTGATAAAATGGGGCAAAACCTACTTACCAATGTTTCACTTAGCCACAGAAATTTTGGGCTCCTTTGTTATAAGTCAAAGGCTACCTGAATAGGTGGGAAAATTGAATTTGATAAGTCACCACTTTATGAATAAGGGAAGATTTTGTGGATTTGTTCTTAGGAAAACAGAAACAAGAGGATTTTCCTGTGTTCCTAATAACTTATTAAAGTAATGCCACAATTAGCTGTGGTTTCATACTATACCAGAAACACACTCTGGCTTAATGCAGCCTGTGACTATGGACTCTACCAAGAAGAGTTCAGTTTCCATTGCTTGTAGAGATATATACAGTCTGTATTCAACCATAGGAATTGTTACATAGGGATGCGGGGGCTCAGTGGCTAACACACTGAGCTTTTCGATCAGAAAGACTCGCAGTTCAGCAGTTCGAATCCCTAGTGCCATGTAACAGATGAGGTCCTGTTACTTGTCCCAGCTTCTGCCAAAATAGGGACTACTTTGGTGGGAAAGTAACAGCGTTTTGTGTGCCTTTGGCATTTAGTCATGCCGGCCACATGACCATGGAGACATATTTGGACAGTGCTGGCTCTTCGGCTTTGAAACGGAAATGAGCATGGACCCCTAGAGTTGCACATATGTGCAAGGGGAACCTTTACCTTTTTAATTATTACATTTATGATGCTTAGTATCATGACCCCTCAGAGTTTCTGTCCATGTAATGGCTCTCCTGGAGATAAGGGGCATGCGTTCTATTCTGAGCACCTCCCACATTACATTTCTGAAACAGAAAAAAGGCATCAGCAAACTAAAATAAATTCCTAGAAAAGTGTGACCCTTTGGTAGGCTTACACATTTCCCTGGATAAAAGGATACCCCCCTCCCTTTCTCCTTTTGCACAAGACAGTAGGCAAGTCATGGCTCTGAAGTCTAGAAATTAAGTGCCAATCAAAACTTAATTTAGAATTGGACTCTGGTGATGGCACTGCGATATAAATTTGTCTGCATGAATTTACGATAAAATGTGTCTGCGGGGTCCATTCATGTGGGTTATTTACAATCTCAACAGCCACATTCAGTCGAAAAAATTAGCAGAAGGGCTGTTTAAGGCCATGCTTTCCCTGGTGGTAGGGATTGGAATGGCACCGTTGATTGTTGTTCACTTCCCAAATAAATTGCACTCAATGGGTGATATGGTGGATGCTAAAGCTATCCTGACTAGCATTATGTTAAATGCTCTTGCTTGCCTGCAGTTTTAATACATTCTGTCTAACATCTCTGGGATCTATACATTCCAGTTGAGGCCAAGGAGACTCCACAATCTGTTAAATTACTGTGTTAAAACATTTGGTACATGATAAGGCTGAATTTTAGAATTGTAGCAATTGCAACATTTGCAACAAAAAGTTGGTAAAGCCTTATACCTGTTGCCTTCAGGTATTGTGAGTGATTTTAATAATATTTCTCTTAGAATCGTAGCCAGTGAAAAGTTTTATTGAAGATCAGATGAGATAGAAAAACAAGCACGGTTTTCCTAGAAATTTTTCTGTCAAAAATGTTTTGAAGAATGCATTAAGATAGCCAATTTATTAAGTTTTAAGTTTACTACAATAATATGCTAATATATAAAGAATTGAAATGTAATATTTTCAGATATTTTACTTTTTAAAGTTAATAAAAAGTCAGTTTTCTTACTAAGCTCTAATGGGGTAACCCTATATTGTCAGAATGTCATAACACATAGTTAATTATTTAATATTTCATTGTTGCATTTTTATTGCTAAAGAAAGGACATTCTTCTGCATTTTCTGCCTCAAGTGCCAGTGCTTGGAAGAATAGTACAAGTGGCCACTTGCCTGATGATGCAAAATATCATGGCTGAATCCCAAATTAAAAAAATAATTATTTCTTATGTGTCCTTTGAACATTGTACATTTCTTTAAGTCATTACATCAAGAGGATAGTGTCCTGGTCTTAGATTTGGAATGAGAAAATACATTTTCACCAAATAAAATTTATCTCTTTAATCCTTAAATCAATACAAGGACATGCTCTCGCAGGCTAGGTATTTTTTTTTAAATGAATATGTGACCCAAACAATCCGGGTGCTGTTTCAAGAAAATC